ACAGTTCTGCAATTTTTTCTATCTCTTCAATTAAAAATAGCAATCAGGCGAGACAGTAGAATATACAGTTTTTCAATGAGGTGCATATTAAATTTCTGGAAAATTAATTCGATAACAGCAAATGACAGTTGACAGCCGTCACAGTGACGAAAAGTTTTTGTTTGCGGACTAAAAGTTAATGTCTGCGGATGAAAAGTACTTGCTTTCAATAATAGCCGATTTTTTGTTCGTGCGTGAGTAAGTAAGATGTCATTTTTTGTAGAGGCGAGGTGTATATTCAATTTTTTTGTTGTCCACCTCAAAAGCTTATATTCACACACCACGGTCTTATTAACACGTAAAATCTATCGGATTTCGTAGATAATTAATCTGACAACAGCAAATGACAGTTGACAGCAGTCAAGTCGATTACTGACCGGACCGAGTCGTATCATAGTGACCACAGGGGACGGAAAGAGATTGCGGAGGAAAAATACTTTCCTTCGAAGATAGTCGCTTTCTCATTAGGAAATTAGTACGTGAATTTTTTATAAAGGTCGACGAAAAGTTTACGAGTAGTTTCGAATTTCAAACCAGTACCTACTATTTACTACATTTAGGTAGGAACTCATATAATTTTCGGAAAGACCGAGTACAATACACTAATCAACTCCAATGGAATATTCGATGAATAATGTTCTACATTTTTCATTATTTTCATTTAAATGAATCCGAGTGAATCTATCACTCTGCATTTTGACAGTGGATAAACGTCCACCGGCGGTATCGTTGTGTCCGTCCGTATGAAACCTAACAAAAAATGAAATAACAAGAATGTAACAAAAAACGGAAAAAAATTATAAATACAACTTCAAATACTGTGCCCGTCTTAGGTCCGTTCCCCCGCCCCTACTAATTTTTGAATCACCTGGTATATCGCAAAGGAATTTTGAGTGCTCAGGTAGGAGATGAAAACCTACTTTTTGATAAAAAAAAGACGACAGCACAAAGTATTGAAATAGCGGTTGAGCGCCAACTTGGATAATATTTCTAAATGAAACACCCTGTATATAATTCCATTTTTGAAATATAATCACAATTCCTGACATACTCATTAAACACACTTAACTCCTAAATTCAATAAATTTCGAAAAATTAACGTTTGAACAGTGACATAACGAAAATGTTTTTAGTATTTGCAAGAATTATCTGTCGATTGAGCGAATTGTAAGATCGATCTAGCAAATTAGGCTTAATTGCAACAACAATCAGGCAATTAGTGCTTAATTGTAGATTGACGGAGCAATTGAGCTTATCAATTGCCAGATCAGTTTTGTAATTGAGATGAATGCAACATCGATCTGACAATTAGTACTTGATTGTCAGATCAATGGTGCAATCAGGCTTATCATTTGCCAGATCGATCTTTCAATATGGATGAATGCACCATCGATCTGGCAATTGGTGCTTAATTGACAGACCGATCTTGCAATTAAGCCTAATTGCAACTGCGATCTGACAATTGATGCTTAATTGACAGGTCGATCTAGCAATTTAGCTTATTTGCAACATTGATTTGGCGATAAAAGTGCTCAATTGTCAGATCGATGATGCAATCAAGCTCATCAATTAACAGATCGACATTTCATTAAGATTAATGCAACAATCTGGCAATTAGAGCTTAATTGACAGATCGACCTTGCCATTAAGCTCAATAGAAACATCGATCTGTCAATTAGTGCTTGACAAATCGATCTTGCAATTAGGATAAATGCAACATCGACCTGGCAATTAGTGCGTAATTGACAGTTCGATCTTGCAATTAAGCTTATTTGCAACATCTATCTGTCAATTAGTGCTTAATTGTCAGATCGGTGGTACCATCAAGCTTATCAATTGCCAGATCGATCTTGCAATTAAGATGAATGCAACATCAATCTGGCAATTATTGCTTAATTGACAGATCGATCTTGTCATTAACCTTAATTGCAACTGCGATCTGACAATTAGTGCTCAATTGTCAGAGCGATTGTGCGATTAAGCATAATTGCAACTGCGATCTGACAATTAGTGCTTAATTGTCAGGTCGATTTAGCAATTGAGCTTATTTGCAACATCTATCTGACAATTAGTGCTTAATTGTCAGATCGATGGTGCAATTAAGCTTATCAATTGCAAGATCGATCGTGCAATTTAGATGAATGCAACAGCCATCTGGCAATTAGTGTTTGATTGACAGATCGATCTTGCCATTAAGCTCAATTGCAACATCGATCGAGCAATTAGTGCTTAATTGTCAGAGCGATTGTGTGATTAGGCCTATCAATTGCCAGATCGATATTGCAATAAGGATGAATTCAACATCGATTTGGCAATTAGTGCTTAATTGACATAGACATCTTGCAATTAAGCGTAATTGCAACTTGTACCTGAGAATTAATGCTTAATTGTCAGATCGATAGTGCAACCAATCTTATCAATTGTCACATCGATCTTGCAATTAAGATGAATGCAATATCGATCTGGCAATTATTGCTTGATTGATATATTGATTTTGCAATTGTGCTCAATTTCATGATTGATCTGGCAATTAGTGATTAATTTTCGGATCGATGAGGCAATTAAGCTTATCAATTGCCAGATCGATCTTGCAATTAAGGTCAATTGCAACATCGATCCGGCAATTAGTGCTTAATTGTCATATGATGTTGCAATTAAGCTTGCCTAACTGCAAATACGATCTGTCAATTAGTGCTTAATTGTCAGGTCAATGTTGGAATTATCTCAATTGCACGGTCGATGTTGCAATTAGGCCCAAATTGCTAGATCGATCTTACAATTAGTTTGACAGATAAATCTTCCGTTCATGGCTTTCAAAGTTTACAAAGCAAACTTCTGAGTTAATATTTGGAAAAGTTTTGAATTCAGGAATTTAGTGTATTAGATGAATAAGTTAAGAATCATGAGAAGAGTTCGAAAATGGAATAATATACAGGGTGTTCCATTATAATAAATTATTCATGTTGGCGCCCAGCCGCCATTTTAAAATTTCAAGCTGGCGTTATTTCATGAAAAATAGTTATTCATCTGTGATTTGAGCCCTGCAAATTTTTTTCAATATATACCAGGTGGTTCAAAAATTAGTAGGGGGGAACGGACTTTAGATGGGCACTGTAGATTTCCAATAAATAAGAGTTGTCCTGTAATTACACTCCCAAACAATACCATTTTGTACAACCTATAACATGTGGACTCCATGTTCTGAAGTCACCAGTAATTTTGGCTGTCTAAATACCCGCCGGCGGGAATACATAATTGAAATTTGGTACAAAACCCAAATGGAACTAAAGAAATCCAACTGGACAAATAACAATCCATGATGAAAAACAGTACCTGTAGAAAGTCAGTAAGTGTTCTTCAGGTTGTATACCAGATTGAGATGGATTAAAAATAGAAGAAAAACTTTTTATCAATTTGAGTATCTTCAGCATAATCCTAATAGCAAGAGAGAATAGAAATTGATCTGTATCCTGTTGGAGAGATGTTGAGGTTGGAGGATATCACTACCTACATCCATTTACATCTTAGTAATGAAATTACCTATCATATTCAGAAAAAAAATCTTAGAAAAATGGCCACTCCACCAGAATTCTGATGGTTTGGATCAAATTGTGAACTTTTTTATTTGCTTTACTCTAACAATTTACAGGGTGTTTGGTTCAGTGACATATATTTGGAAGGAGATGGCAGGAAATGTGATTTTGAACATATTGAACCATATATACTATTATACAAAGTGTTACACCTTTTGAGAAAACATTGCTTATAAATTTAAAGTTGGATGTAACAAACAATCAGTTTTTTAATTCAAATGAGCTAAAATATTTTCTCATCACATTTATATCCCATTTCATGTTCATTATTGATGAAATACATGTTCAAATTCTTAAGAAAAAAGAGATACAATCATGTGAAATGATTGAGAAAATGATGATATCTTGAAATGTGAAACACTGTATAATAGTATATATGGTTAAATATGTTTGAAATGTGTTCTCACCTCCTTTTAGATATATGTGGATGAACCAAACACCTTGTATATTTTTGTCTCAAGTTATAGAACAAGTGGTTCACAAGGTGGTGGCTGTCCTCAACCAACCATATACAGGGTGCCCCAGATAATGTATTCTTCTTACAGTTGGGAGATTGCCAATATTTTTTGAGTCTAGACCTACAATTCTACCAGAAATATCAGTTGATAATGATTATGAATACACATTTCCAAGGAGACTATACTATGCAATCTGAACTAAGTTTGAGTAGTTATCCCCCATTCAAAACAATATATTGCTGCAAATATAAAGATGTAAGCTATATTGGGTGTTTTCAACACAAGAATTTAAGGGCTATCAAGTATGGAAAATATTTCAACATTTTCAAATAACCCAAAAATGAGTGAAACAATTTAGCCCCTTCTAAGAATGTATACACATAAGATGCAAAACTCAGTTTGGCACTAAATGGTTTGAAGTTTATGAATTCATAGCAGCATACTGAGAATGATCTATATAGTCCTAAAATATATGTATACCAGGTGTGTCATTCGAGAAAAATGGTTTACAAGATTATATATCCTGCTACAGGAACCATGAACAAATAGTATGTCATATGTTCAATGAAGGGTTTTTTTAATCTATGATGAAGGTATAGCTTATCCAAAGTAAATTGGATAGCCTCAAGCTGCACATGCACTCACTTCAAAAGAAACTTCAAGTGGTATGGGATATGCTTCAATTGACTTTGGATAGACTATAACAGACTGGCGGAAATACAGTTCTGTTGATCTAGGAAGAATATATAGGGGTATATCATGTTCTTGACATGTGAAGTATCAAAGTTTGTGGTATCAAATGCAGGATAGAGTTTGTGCTCTATCTTCTTCCTAACAACATATACTTAATTAAACAGGAATGAATCAAATGGAGAATTATCCCCATTAAGGAAAATTAGGTTTATCTCACTTTATCTTCAGCAGGACACTGATAGAGATTAATGAAAGTCTGCTGCAAATTCTTTGAGAACCTTGGGGCAAACACATCCTTATCAGACCCAAATTGATGTCTTGACTGTCTCACAATAGAGTCTATAACATATAGTCCAGGCACTTTGTAATCTGGTTTACACTTCAGTATAAACTTCTCTACACTTTGCACAACATGTTTGTAAAACTTTATAGCCTTGATAGCTCCTCTTGTTAGAGCAGTCATTTTGGCCTTAGATATAGGAGGCTTCACCTCATACAGCGAGGAGAGCTGAAATATAAAGAGAGATTATTGTAATTTTTGAAGTACAGAAAAATTTTTAAAGCTCATAAGATAGGTGATAGAAATGTAGAAAAATGTACGCGTCTCTGGAGACTTGTGGTACACAAAAGTCGAAAAAATTATCATTATACCTCCTGGTTGAATGACTTTACGGCATCCATATTGTAAGCTGAATTAGTTTCTCCTAGTTTTACGATAACATCTTCACTTATTAGCTGTAATGAACAACTTCAATAAACACAATTTTTCCTGTAGATAAGACGCCATTTTGATCAGCGCATATTTAAGGTTAAAGTGGTTAGTGGTTGTAATTCTTGGAAATCTTGGAACCTTGGAACGGTAACCATACAGAAACATCTATAAAAATTATGAATTCTGTGAGTTCTATGGTAAACTCATACCAAAGCTCATACCCGCAACCACAACGACTGCCTGCAGATAGTTACCGCACACTACATCTAATATTCTGGCTTCCAACGCATGACTGTGCACTGTGCAAATTTTTCAAACGTGAATTATCGAGTGAGGGACATAGGTTAAAAATTTTAGATTGTTAAGAAATAGTATAGTCTCCTTTGTTCTCTCAAGTAATTTTCTAGATGTGCTTTCTTGTCATGACGTCACCAATTTTTCTGATGAAATTTATGCTGGAACGATGGAAATGGTATACCTAGATATTACAACACATTGATAGAAAACGGAATTCGTTGTGTTTCAGTCATCAACTATCTTCAGAATCAGAAGAGACTGATACGACTGTGATTCAATTTTATTGATTAACACTTACTCCATCTTCTGAAATATCTCAAGAATCTCAGAACTCCAAAATTCCTCAATGAGTTTAATAATGAATATACTTACTAAAAATGTGTCTCTTCCAAAACACTGGATTCTCGCAAAGCAACTCGAAAGTGCGCATTTTATTACAACAGTTTGATGAATTTCCATCAACATTCCAGCGAAATTTTGCAAAAGTGCGAAATTTTCTTCGATTCATGCGCATAACAAAATGATGAAATGAGAAACGCACGTAGCACGTAGGTACAGATCAAGGATTATTCGACTCTTGAGAGTCTTGAGTATAGATGATACAGCTTACAATGCAGCGGCAAGCAGATGAATAATGAAGCGTGGACTGTTCGCATTCACTGTTCTAGGGTTATTCTGGAAAATATCAGCCTGTTTTCTATAAAATGTTCTTTTCAGATTGGATTGTTTAAAAAATAATTGATGATTATTTGTACAAGATGGTTGCCACGAATAATTCTAGATGAAACCTGGATAGGTGAATATACTTGTAGACAGTTGTAGATGACGTTGATGATCCAAGATAGAATTTTCGATCGGATCACGTCACAAATTACTACTCATCCTCATCGCAATTTGGTGATCGAGGCAACCTTAAGGTCGGGACACAATGTAGAGGTCTGCTATTGGTCAATTCTACCCTTGAACGCGTTTCACACCAATCATAGTGCAATTCCTTATTCTTTTCCATTGTGTTTGGGCCTTAACTCTACAAATGATCACCAATTCTACCAACTTTTATTTTCTTTCGCGAATTATGATGAAAGTCAGAAAATTGGATGTAGTGTACAGGAACTGTCTGCAGGCACTCGTCAACCACAGCTTCGACCACAACCAACGTACCAAGCTTGTGTTATCCGATATTCCTTGTCAACCGTCACTTCGTCAGCACTGTCGCTTGTCATTGTCACATAACTCCCGCTCTCCGCTGTTGTTGATGTCGTTTCTTGTGAAACATGGCGGACGAAAAAGATGTGGTCGAAAAAACTATCGCAGAAGACTTGGTGGTCACCAAATATAAAATGGCTGGGGAAATTGTTAATAGTGAGTTAGATTGAGCTAGAATAATTGTGTCGATTTCATCAACCTCGTCATTGAATTATATATGATTATATCTTTGATATAGCCATATGGAGCATTGATTCCGGCAACAATAAGCACATGGTTTTTGCTCATTTAGCTGAAAAAAATCCCATAAACCTTGTATTCAAAAGCTACATGAAATATTTTAAAAATCTCTTGCTAGTTGAAATACTTCATGAAACGATTTACGAAAACTATTTTCTGTTATGTTCTGTTATTTGGCCAGCAAAGTGAAAGTTGTTTCATCCTGTTGTAACTTACCGAAATTTCAGGAGTACTGAAGCAAGTTATTGAAAAATGTGTGGTTGGTGCATCTGTTAAGGAAATATGTGAATTTGGAGATCAGTTATTGTCAGATGAAACCAGCAAAGTATTCAAGAAAGAGAAGGAATTGAAGAAAGGCATTGCTTTTCCTACATGTGTTTCCATTAACAACTGCATTTGCCATTTTTCACCTGTTCCCAATGAAGCAGACTGTATTCTCAAAAAAGAAGATGTTGTGAAAGTGTAAGTATACCAAGATTCTTAATGAATTATAGAATAATCCATAAAAGTAGCTAGTTGAGATGGAGTCCACATAGACCATACCTAATATTCTTATCTACACAGACTAATGCTCCATTGCTACTTGCAAGTATGAGCAGTATGAATTTATTTCAAACAATTAGCTTTTCATGATCAATAACTTGATTTACTTGAACACTTATTTTTTAATTGTTTGCTATTCATTGGTATTTTATGTGATACCAATCATGCCATGTTGCAGTTGAATTTGGATTTGATTGCTTATTTTCATCAATTTGATCTTCAATTGTTAACCAGTTCCCACATCCAAATTGAAGAAATAATGAAAATAATGATGAATTTTCTATTTATTCCAATTGATCCTTCTGAAAATCAATGAATGATAATTTTTATTCTGAATTCTCCAATTATTTTTCATTCATTTCAATGTTCAAAATGGCCCATTGATGGTTTATTGTAAAATTCTAGTGATCTGGGAGCCCATATAGATGGTTTTATTGCTGTTGTTGCACACACGGTTGTGATGGGTGCTTCAAAGGAACATAAAGTAACTGGAAGAAGGGCAGATGTGGTTTTGGCTGCTCATTTTGCATCCCAAGCTGCCCTCAGGTTACTGAAACCAGGAAATGAAACATATGCAATAACTGATGCAGTACAAAAGGTTGCAGAATCTTACAAGTGTAAACCAGTTGAAGGTTAGTAAATTGATTTAATGAATAGGAATTTTACTTATTCATCAAGTTTTTTGCATAGCAAATTTTCACTTTCCAAGTAGAAATTGACGACAAAACTACCTTGTTTGTTCACCAAATTTAGATTTCTGAAGAAATTTCAAGTAATTTTATACCACTTCTCTGGAATTACTTCAGGAACTCAAGAAATTACAGATATTTGCAAGTAATTCCAGGAGATTTGCAATTTATCCTAGAAACTACAAGTAATATGAAGTACTCATAAGTTATTTCAAGAAAATGCAAGTAGTCCCTGATAGCAAATATTTCCAGGGGGTTTAAAGTAATTTTAGGAACTTGCAGGTGATTTCAGTAAATTGCAAGAAATTCCATGAACTTACAAGTGATCTCTGGGAGTTGCAAGTAAATCCAGGAAAAAATAAGCAAATTCATCAAATTTTGATTAGTGTTAGTAAATTACAATGTTAAGAACTGGGAATGAATTCTAGATATTTGCATGTGATTTGCTTGTCATCCTAGGAAATTGCATGTGATTCCAGAGAATTGCAGGTAATTTCAGGGACTTGTAAGTGATTCTAGAGAGTTGAAAGTAACTTCAGGAAATTGCAAGTATTCCTGGAGAATTGCAAGTAATTTCTAGAACTAGCATCTTGAAGGTGATATCAGGAAATTGTAAGAAATTTTATGCAGTTGCAATAATTCCAAGAAGTTGCAACTGATTTCAAGAAATTGCAAATTAAAAATTGCAATAACTTCAGGAACTTGCAATTTGAAGGAAATATTAAATCATTGCAAGGGTGTTCAGGAGGTTATAAGTAATTAAAGGAAATTCCAACTGAATTGATGTCTGGGAGTTGCAAGTAAATCTAGGAAAAATAAGCAAATCCATCAAATTTTGATTAATTTCAGTAAATTACAAGTATTCTAAGAAAATGGCAATGAATTCTAGATATTTGCATGTGATTTGCTAGTCATCCCAGGAAATTGCAGGTAATTTCAGGGTCTTGTAAGTGATTCTAGAGAGTTGGAGAAGATTCAGGAAATTGCAAGTATTTCTGGAGAATTGCAACTAATTTCTAGGACTTGCATCTTGAAGGTTATATCAGGAAATTGCAAAAAAATTTATGCAGTTGCAATGATTCTAAGAAGTTTCAACTGATTTCAAGGAATTGCAATTTGAAGGAAGTATTGAATCATTGCAAGGGAGTTCAGGAAGTTATAAGTAATTACAGATAATTATAACTGATTTGATGTCTGGGAGTTGCAAGTAAATCCAGGAAAAAATGAACAAATCCATCAAATTTTTATTAGTTTCAATAAATTACATAACTAAGAAATGGCAATAAATTCTAGATATTTGCATGTGATTTGTCTTTCATCCCAGAAAATTGCATGTAATTTCGGAGAATTGCAGGTAATTTCAGGGACTTGTAAGTGATTCTAGATAGTTGGAAGTAATTTCAGGAAATTGCAAGTATTCCTGGAGAATTGCAAGTAATTTCTAGGACTCGCATCTTGAAGGTTATATCAGGAAAATGCAAGAAATTTTATGCAGTTGCAATAATTCCAAGAAGTTGCAACTAATTTCAAGAAATTGCAAATAATTTTAAAAATTGCAAGTTCTCTCAGGATTTTATCTCTGGGAGCTACAAGTAAATCCAGGAAAAAATAAGCAAATCTATCAAATTTTGTTTAGTTTCAGTAAATTACAATGTTAAGAAATGGCAATAAATTCTAGATATTTGCATGTGATTTGCTTGTCATCCTAGGTAATTGCATGCGATTCCAGAGAATTGCAGGTAATTTCAGGGACTTCTAAGTGATTCTAGAGAGTTGGAAGTAACTTCAGGAAATTACAAGTATTTCTGGAGAATTGCAAGTAATTTCTAGGACTTGCATCTTGAAGGTGATATCAGGAAATTGTAAGAAATGTTATGCAGTTGCAATAATTCCAAGAAGTTGCAACTGATTTCAAGAAATTGCAAATTATAAATTGCAATAACTTCAGGAACTTGCAATTTGAAGGAAATATTGAATCATTGCAAGGGAGTTCAGGAAGTTTTAAGTAATTAAAGGAAATTGCAACTGAATTGATGTCTGGGAGTTGCAAGTAAATCCAGGAAAAATAAGCAAAATCCATCAAATTTCGATTAGTTTCAGTAAATTACAAGTATTCGGCAATAAATTCTAGATATTTGCATGTGATTTGCTCATCATCCCAGGAAATTGCAGGTAATTTCAGGGACTTGTAAGTGATTCTAGAGAGTTGGAAGTAACTTCAGGAAATTGCTAGTTTCTGGAGAATGCAACTAATTTCAAGGACCTGCATCTTGAAGGTTATATCAGGAAATTGCAAGAAATTTCATGCAGTTGCAATAATTCCAAGAAGTTGCCACTCATTTCAAGAAATTTCAAATAATTTAAAAAATTGCAAGTACTCTCAGGAACTTGCAATTTGAAGGAAATATTAAATCATTGCAAGGGTGTTCAGAAAGTTATAAGTAATTATAGGAAATTGCAACTGATTTGATGTCTGGGAGTTGCAAGTAAATCCAGGAAAAAAAAGCAAATCCATCAAATATTGATTAGTTTCAGTTAATTACAATTCTAAGAAAATACAATATATTCTAGATATTTGCATGTGATAATTTCAGAGAATTGCAGGTAATTTCAGGGACTTTTAAGTGATTCTAGAGAGTTGAAAGTAACTTCAGGTAATTGCAAGTATTCCTGGAGAATTGCAAGTAATTTCTAGGAAGGTGATATTAGGAAATTGCGAGAAATTTCATGCAGTTGCAATAATTTCAAGGAGTTGCAACTGATTTCAAGAAATTGCAAATAATTTTAAAAATTGCAAGTTCTCTCAGGATTTTATCTTTGGGAGCTGCAAGTAAATCCAGGAAAAAATAAGCAAATCCATGAAATTTTGATTAGTTTCAGTAAATCACAATTCTCAGTAAAGGCAATAAATTCTAGATATTTGCATGTGTTTGTTTTTCCTCCTAGGAAATTGCATGTGGTTCCAGAGAATTGTTGGTAATTTCAGGGACTTCTAAGTGATTCTAGAGAGTTGGAAGTAACTTCAGGAAATTCCAAGTATTTCTGGAGAATTGCAATTAATTTCTAGGACTTGCATCTTGAAGGTAATATCAATAAATTGTAAGAAATTTTATGCAGTTGCAACTGATTTCAAGAAATTGCAAATAATGTAAAAAATTGCAAGTACTCTTAGGAACTCGCAATTTGAAGGAAATATTAAATCATTGCAAGGGAGTTTAGGAAGTTATAAGTAATTACAGGAAATTGCAACTGATTTGAATTAATTGCATCTCCAGAGATTTTCAAGTAACTTTGGAACCTTCAATATGTTTGAATTGCAAGAAATTGAAGAGAATCCCAAGAATTCACAATTTAATGCAGGAAATTGCTTGTAAATTCATGAAATTGCAAGCAAGTGCAAGTAATTCCAAGGAATTGCAAAACTTATTAGCCATTATCAGCCATGCAATACTCAATGATGATTTTTAAATACCAATTGATCCTACTGATTGATTCCATGAATGGAAAATTGAAACTGATTTCCACCAATAAAAAACCCCGCAATTTTTTTCCATTCAAAATTTTTATCACCGAACCACTCATAAACAGGCATGTTGAGCCATCAGCTGAAACAATTCAAAATCGATGGTGAGAAAACTGTCATCCAAAACCCCAATGACGCCCAGAAAAAAGAACATGAAAAATTCGAGCTGGACAAACATGAGGTGTACGCGATGGACGTTCTCATCAGCACTGGCGAGGGTATCGGCAAAGAAACCGAGACCAGAGTGTCCATCTACAAGAAGACCGAGGAGACCTACCAGCTGAAACTCAAAGCATCGCGGACCTTCTATACAGAGGTGAGCCATGTTATCACAAATCATGGAATCGGCTGAATACCGGGTGGCGATTTTACTAAATATAAACTATTGCAGCACAAGACACGCCCACCATAATACGTCATATCTCATACTGTGCTCCAACCCAAGAACTGAAGCTTTCTCGTTGTCAATCTCTTGTACGCAGTAAATTCATACACCCAAATGGTCTACTGGTTAGCGCTGTCGACTCTCAGTCTGAAGGTTCATGGTTCGAATCGCTGTGAACTCGAAATTTTTTTTGCAACTTTTTTTTTTCACCAATGTTTTTTTACTTCATTCTGGTTTTCCTTTTTCATAAAATATTTGAAGTCAAATAGGTTAGTGCGTTTAGGATAAACAGTCTCATTTTATTCAATTTTGTTGAAGAACTCAACTTTTGAAATGTGTTTCTACACTCCATTCGGTTTTCCTTCCTCAAAAATATTGCAATCAGGGATAGGTTAGTTCATTGAGGATAAATAGTCTCTGAGTTTTGCCTAAGTAAAGTACTTTGAAGATGAGATATAACGTGGTATGTGCTACTTTTTCAATCGATTTATTTATATGAATCAGCTACGTTGTGCTGTCAAAGATTAGATTTTGCAGGATTGTGCTGGGCTTGATTATATTTTGCAATGCCGTAGTAGGGGGCGTGTCTTGTGCTGCAATAGTTTATATTTAGTAAAATCGCTACCGGGTGACAACCAGATACAGTTGTTTTTCAAGTTAGAATTTTCAAATTCGGATCGATGATATATTTCCTTTAGAGCCATATTTTCCATGAAAAAACAATGGAGATGTTCAGCTAGCTTTGAGAGAGAAAATATGTCTTCCCCATCTGTCCTTGTGTTCCAAAATAATGAAATTTTCAAGTTGGCAACACTAGAATATAAATGAGAAGAAATCGAGAAGAGGAGCATATTAACCTTAATATAAAAGCTTGAACTTGGCTAGATAGCCCAGGCAGCTAGGGTCATTCAAAGTGAAGAGAAGAAGAAAAAATGTTGAAATAGTCTTCTCCATTTCTTCTCATTTCTTGTGTTGCCAACATACAATTTTCATTTTTTTACGTTGGAGCCCTGAGGACAAGGTCATAATGGGAAGACATATTATTATGTTTTCTCTCTAAACACTAGCTGAACTTCTCTATGGAATATCATTTCAGGTTTCACGGGTAATTGACTTACGTCAAGATTTTTGAATTTTATGCCATTTGACAGAGCAAAAAACCCTTTTCAATGACATATCACAAGTTGACATTTGTTTCCAAAATGACGGTGCAGGAGACATTTTGTCTACAATCAATAGCAAATAGAGTTTCTGATGAAACATGCCAAAATTTGTATTCATCATCATTCAGAATTCCTATTAGTAATAATTTTTTCATGATGTTGACTTTTTCTCTTGAATAGGCCTTTCCAGTATCATAAAATTTAACCACTTTTCACTATAATGTTATGAAGGGAAGTCAAGAAATGTTATCCCTACCACATTTATCAAAAATACCGATCTTCAAATGAATTATTTTATATTGAAAGTTCAGCTAGCTGTCAGAGAAAATGTGTCTTCCCCATCTGTCCTTGTGTTCCAAGGTTAAACAATTGAGTTTTCAAGTTGGTAACACTAGAATAGGAGGAGAAGGAATAGAGAAGAGGAGCATATTAACCTCAATATAAAAGCTTGTACTTGGCTAGACAGCCCAGGCAGCTAGGGTCATTCAAAGTGAAAAGAAGAAGAAAAAATGTTGAAATAGTCTTCTTCTCCATTTCTTCTCATTTCTTGTGTTGCCAACATGCAATTTTCATTATTTTCCGTTGGAGCCCTGAGGACAAGGTCAGAATGGAAAGACATATTATTATGTGTTCTCTCTAAACACTAGCTGAACTCCTCTATGGAATATCAGTTCAGGTTTCACGGGAAAATTGACTTAGGTCAAGAATTTTAAATAGAGCTCTGAATATATTTTTATGCCATTTGTTTCCAAAATGACGGCGCAGGAGACATTTTGTCTACAATCAATTGCAAATAGAGTAAGTTTTTGATGAAACATGCCAAAATTTGTATTCATCGTCATTCAGGATTCCTATTATCAATAATTTTTTCATGATAATTACTTTTTCTCTTGAATGGCCTTTCCAGTATCATAAAATTTAACCACTTTTCACAATAATGTTATGAAGGGAAGTCAAGAAATGTTATCCCTACCACATATTTATCAAAAATACCGATCTTCAAATGAATTATTTGATATTGAAAGTTGAGGTAGCTGTGAGAGAGAAAATATGTCCTCCCCATTTGTCCTTGTGTTCCAATGTAAAATAATTGAATTTTCAAGTTGGCAACACTAGAATATAAATGAGAAGAAATAGAGAAGAGGAGCATATTAACCTCAATATAATAGCTTGTACTTGGCTAGACAGCCCAGGCAGCTAGGGTCATTCAAAGTGAAGAGGAGAAGAAAAAATTTTGAAATAGTCGTCTCCATTTCTTCTCATTTATTGTGTTGCCAACATACAATTTTCATTTTTTTACGTTGGAGCCCTGAGGACAAGGTCATAATGGGAAGACATATTATTATGTTTTCTCTCTAAACACTAGCTGAACTTCTCTATGGAATATCACTTCAGGTTTCATGGGGAATTGACTTGGGTCAAGAATTTTAAATAGAGTTATGTATATATTTTTATGCCATTTGATAGAACAAAAAACCCTTCTCAATGACATATCACAAGCCGACATTTGTTTCCAAAATGACGGCGCAGGAGACATTTTGTCTAAAATCAATAGCAAATAAAGTTAGTTTTCAATGAAACATGCCAAAAATTGTATTCATCCTCATGCAGGATTCCTATTAGTAATAATTTTTTCATGATGATGACTTTTTCTCTTGAATGAAGGGAAGTCAAGAAATGTTATCCCTACCACATATTTATCAAAAATACCGATCAACAAATGAATTATTTGATATTGAAAGTTCAGCTAGCTGTGAGAGAAAATGTGTCTTCCTCATCTGTCCTTGTTTTCCAATGTAAAATAATTGAATTTTCAAGTTGGCAACACTAGAATATAAATGAGAAGAAATAGAGAAGAGGAGTATATTAACCTCAATATAAAAGCTTGAACTTGGCTAGATAGCCCAGGCAGCTAGGGCCATTCGAAGAGAAGAAGAAAAATTTTTGAAATAGTCTTCTTCTCCATTTCTTCTCATTTCTTTTGTTGCCAACATACATTTTTCATTATTTTACGTTGGAGTCCTGAGGACAAGGTCAGAATGGGAAGACATAATTATTATTATGTTGTCTCTCTAAACACTAGCTGAACTTCTCTATGGAATATCACTTCAGGTTTCACGGGGAATTGACTTAGATCAAGAATTTAAATGGAGCTCTGTATATATTTTTATGCCATTTGATAGACCAAAAGAACCCTTTTCAATGACATTTCACAAGTTGACATTTGTTTCCAAAATGACGGCGCAGGAGAACTTTTTGTCTAAAATCAATAGAAAATAGAGTTAGTTTTTGATGAAACATCCAAAATTTGTATTCATCCTCATGCAGGATTCCTATTAGTAATAATTTTTTCATGATGATGACTTTTTCTCGTGAATGGCCTTTCCAGTATCATAAAATTTGACCACTTTTCACTATAATGTTATGAAGGGAAGTCAAGAAATGTTATCCCTACCACATATTTATCAAAAATACTGATCTTCAAATGAATTATTTGATGTTGAAAGTTCAGCTAGCTGTGAGACAGAAAATGTGTCTTTCCCATTTGTCCTTGTGTTCCAAGGTTAAATAATTGAATTTTCAAGTTGGTAACACTAGAATAGAATGAGAAGAAATAGAGAAGAGGAACATATTAACCTCAATATAAAAGCTTGTACTTGGCTAGATAGCCCAGGCAGCTAGGGTCATTCAAAGTGAAGAGAAGAAGAAAAAATGTTGAAGTAGTCTTATCCATTTCTTCTCATTTCTTGTGTTACCAACATACAATTTTCATTATTTTACGTTGGAGTCCTGAGGACAAGGTCAGAATGGGAAGACATTATGTTTTCTCTCTAAACACTAGCTGAACCTGTCTATGGAATATCACTTCAGGTTTCACGGGAAATTGACTTAGGTCTAGAATTTCAAATGGAACTCTGTAATATTTTTATGCCATTTGATAGAGCAAGAAAACCCTTTTCAATGAGATATCACCAGTTGACATTTGTTTCCAAAATGACGGCGCAGGAGACATTTTGTCTACAATCAATAGCAAATAGAGTAAGTTTTTGATGAAACATGCCAAAATTTGTATTCATCATTCAGGATTCCTATTACTAATAATTTTTTCATAATGATGACGACTTTTTCTCTTGAATAGGATTTTCCAGTATCATGAAATTTGACCACTTTTCACTATAATGTTATGAAGGGAAGTCAAGAAATGTTATCCCCACCACATATTTATCAAAAATACCGATCATCAAATGAATTATTTGATATTGAAAGTTCAGCTAGCTGTGAGAGACAAAATATGTCTTCCTCATCAGTCCTTGTGTTCCAAGGTTAAATAATTGAATTTTCAAGTTGGTAACATTAGAATAGGAGGAGAAGAAATAGAGAAGAGGAGCATATTAACCTCAATATAAAAGCTTGTACTTGGCTAGATAGCCCAGGCAGCTAGGGTCATTCAAAGTGAAGAGAAGAAGAAGAAATGTTGAAATAGTCTTCTCCATTTCTTCTCATTTCTTGTGTTGCCAACATTCAATTTTCATTATTTCACGTGGGAGTCCTGAGGACAAGGTCAGAATGGAAAGACATATTATTATGTGTTCTCTCTAAACACTAGCTGAACTTCTCTATGGAATATCACTTTAGGTTTCACGGGAAATTGACTTACTTCAAGAATTTTAAATTTTATGCCATTTAATAGAGCAAAAAACCCTTTTCAATGACATATCACAAGCCGACATTTGTTTCCAAAATGAAGGCGCAGGAGACATTTTGTCT